TCCCAGAACCCCACTTACACGCCTCATCCCCGCAGGGCAGATGCTGATATCCACAAACCCCTCCCACTGCATCTCCCCTGTCTGGTCAGTGCAGTGAATTGGGGGGCGGGGAGAGGCTGTCCAGTCTCCAAACTCGCCTGGGGAGAATGTTGCAATCTTCTGACTCAGCGGCGTGCCTGCAGACCCAGCAGGAGGGAGAAAGGGGAAGATTAAGTCTTGGCCCAAGCCCCAAAAGGGCTATGCAGCCTGGTGCCAGGGATTCCAGCAGCTGCCAAGGCCCCAGGGTGGGTGGGGAGGAAGCAGGAGGTGCCAGGCCGGCCTCCAGGAAGCTGGCCTGCATTCACCCCTGGGGGTGGGGTGGAGCCCGGGAGCTGTCTGCTGACCCAGGAGGGACTTGCAGCTCAAAACTGTGTGACTGGGAGCCTATGTGACCTTGGGCAAGTCCCTTCCCATCCCAGCTCAGCACCTCTGTTTCCCTCTTGTCTGCAAAATTCACTTGCTCTTCCCAAGCCTCTCTTTAATCTAACTCAGTCCTGCTGCAAGGCAATCTTCTCTCCATCTGCTCCACCCTCCCTGGCCTGCAGAAGAGCACTGGAGATAGAGCGCAGACTCAGGCATGTGACCTTGCCTCTCCTGTGCCCTAGTTTCCCCATCTAAATGATTCCTTCCCAGGAAGTGGCTAGGATGAGAGCAGAGAGGGGAGGCCAACGGTCTCTGGGACTAATGAGCATCCCTTCCAGGTCCATGATGCCACAATCAAGATGCTGGGGTCACAGATACCAGGTTTAAAAATCATGCCTTCCCCACCCATCTCTCATCATGTTCCCCTAGGCAGTGACTTCACTGCTCTGTGTCCCTTTCCTTCCCTTTAAAACAGAGATTTTCACTGAATTTTCCTTACCGGCTGTTAAGAGAATGAAGTTAGCCTGTTCCTAAGTGGGAGCTCGGGCAGAGCGAATGGGCCTATCTTGTCTCATCTCTGGGTGGGAAGCATGACAAGAAAGGCCTGGCCTGGGGACTTCCCTGGTGGTTCGGTGGCTAAGACTCCAAGACTTAGGGACCCAGGGTTTGATCCCTGGCTGGGGATCGAGATCCCGCATGCCACAACTGAGATGTCACATGCTGTATCTATTAACAAGAGCCCACATGACACAATGAAGATTAAAGATCCTGGGAACCATACACTAAGACCCAGTGCAGTCAAATAAATTAATGAACTTAAAAATTACAAATAGTCAAAGGCCTGGCCTGGTGGTGAAGGCAGACAACGTGAAGCATGGATACCATTCATTCATTCAGTCAGCCATTCACTCTGCATACCTGATGTCAATCTGCTCAGAAATCCTGGGAGGCAGAAGCTGTCATCATTCCCAACCATAAAGTCACAAGGAAGGCCCAGAGGGGAAAAGCCACCTATCCAAGGCCACACAGCTAACTTGCAGCAGAACTAGGGCTCAAACCCAGCATGTTGAATCAATGAAACGGGTCCTGCCATTGAAAATTTGGGTTAATGGATTAATAAGAATTGGTATTATTCCTATGCCAGGTTGTAACAGGAGAATGGTTATAATGGGAAGAATAATAGCAGCTACATTGTATCAAGCACTTTCTACAGTTCAGGACCTACAGAATGGAAGCATGTTTTCTTGATTTAGTCTGTTTTATAAATGAGGAAGCTGAGACTCCATAAGGTTCAGTAACTGCTGCAATTCACTAAGCTCATGAAAGCCAGAGACAGGACTCCTCAGTCAGAAGCAAAGAGGACGAAGGCCAGGAATTAAGCCAATAGGAACTTAAGGTCTGACCAGCCCAATCTTCTCCTTTTAGGAGAAACGGAGGCCCCTAAGGGCAAGAAAGCTGGCCCAGAATCACAGCCTTCTAGCTGTAGGACTTCACTTCCTTCTTGGGATTGTGAGCAGGTATCATCGTGGCCCTTCCTTCCCCAGGGAGGTTTGAGGAAGGACAAGGGGAGAAGAAGCAGTAGCAGGCAGTGTGACCAGGTACAAAGGTTGGCCTGTGTGGGGAAAGTGGTTAGACACCAAACAGAACTTCCCGGCCTCCTCTGGGAAGTTTCTGGGACTCATCCAGGGGCCACCCCTGTGGTGGGACGGGCCCTCCAGAGCTCACGGCCCAGAGAGGGGAGACCCTAGTCCTCCCCGACAAGGGTTCAGGGAGCAAGGGGGGAAAGGAGAGAGGAGCGGTCCTGGTTCCGCATGCTCCATTCCCGACACAGGAGGGAGGCGGCTGTGGGAGCTGGGACTTTCCTGAGCAACAGAAGATTCTGGGAAATTAGAGACAGCTGCGGGGCGGGGCTGACTGCAGGCCTCCCTTCTCTTCCCTCCCCTCAGTCCCTGCTGGTTCCCCAAGCATGCCTCCCTCTACCCCAAGGAGGCCCTCCTCCAACTGATCCCCCTCCCTCAGACCATGGCCGCCACCCTGAGACTCTCAGATCCTCTCCCTCAGAATTTGCCTCCACGCTCACAGCCTCTTCAAATCTCCTCTTCCCTCAAACCCTTCTTCCCCCACCCTCCACTTTCTCCTCCTCTCTCAGAGCCACTGGCCTCACTTAGTTCTTCTCTCTCTCCCCCAGACCCTCACCTCCCCACTCAGACCACCTACTTCCCTCTTGGACCTGTCTTCCTCCTTCAAATCCTCCTCCCTCAGGCTCTTTTATCCCTCCTCCACCCTCAGATTCAGAACCAGCAGCACCCTCTCTTTCAGCCCCTCCAAGCCCCCTCTGGGCCAAAAGCAGACACCCCTTCCCCAGTCCCGTCTGGGCCCAGAGCCATTGCTCCACCTGCAGCAAGGGAGCCGGGGCATGGGAGGACCTTGGGCATCCTTCCAACCCTACCTCCTAGGGTCATCACCTTGACAAGCCTCGCTTCTCCGAGGCTCAGCTGCTCTCTGTACAGCGGGCAGTGCTCTACACCCCATCCCTCCCCTGTGTTGGAGAGTCACCAGAGGTGAGGGCTGAGTGGGTGGGAGCCCCAGACTTCACAACCTAATTCCCTCACCTCTTCCCCTGTAGCCCCCACAACTCTGGGGGCAGGGGTTGACTTCAGCCTCATTTTCCAGATGAGCAAACTGAGGCTCAAGAGAAACGACCTAGGGTCCACTGTCAACAAGGGGTGGAAGTGGGACTGGAACCCAGGTCTTGCCCCCCAGACGCTCTCCCTTCCCAGGGCACCGACGGGGAGACCCGGAGAGGCAGAACGGAGAGAAGCAGGGAAGAGGGTGAGGCTTCTGTCTGCCCACAGCTGCTCCTGACATCCTGAACAATCCACTGGGGTGGAGTCCCAGTCTTGGGCAAAGTCCCTTCCTGAGAACCGGGGGCCTTACACCCATTTTCAGGGTCCCAGGATGGGCAGACTGAGACGCAGAGATGGAGAGACAAGGCGACAAGGCGGGACGGAGACCAGGGAAGGAGATGCAAAGACGGGGGGAGACGCACAAAACCAGGAAGACCCTGCGTGCCGCCTGGACAGACTCGGGGTGCAGCGCCCATTCCCTTGCCCCTTTGGGTCCCCCCAAGTCTTCCGCTCCGCCTCCCGTAAGTCAGTGACCGGGACTCAACCCCAGCGACAGCCCCGCCTCCAAGGAAATCCGGGAAAGCCCCGAGCGGCCGGGGCCCCTCCCCGGGGCGGGGAGAAGGGCGGCAGGGGCGGGGTCAGGGGAGAGGCCCGCCTCTGTCCTGCTCTCTCCCGGGCCCCGCCTTCCCCAGCTCCAGCCTGCCTCTGAGTCATGCCCCCAACCAGCCAGGCCTGTTCCCCACCCACCAACCCCGCCCGGGATGGGAGGGGGACGCGGGGGCAGAAGGGAAGCCCGCCGGCCCCCCGTCTTCTGGACCCGGGCTTGGCCGCTGTGGCTCTGATCTTGTGACCCTACGGCTCTAGCTGTCTCCCCGTCTCCCTCTTACTTGGCCTCTCACGACCTCTGGACCCCTTTCGCCACATCTGTTTCTCTGGGTATCGAGGCTTTCGGGGGCACCCACCCTGTGCCCGGAGGCTCGGGCTGGGTCATGGGACCCCGCGGGGAGAGACAGGTTCACGGTTTCTCTGTGCACTCCCCACCGAACATTTCCCGCCCCCGCCCCCCGTCCCCCATCCCCAGCGAAGTTCACACCCCAGACTGAGCAGGCACTCGGAGGAGGCCGAGACGGCGGCAGGGCAGGCAGAGGGATGATTAGCGCCCGGGCGCCCGCCGAGGGTACTCCCTGCCCTGGGTGCGTCTTCTCGCTCCCACGAAGGAGGAAACGACTCAGAGAAGGGAAGTGCCTGGTCAAGGTCACCCAGCGAGGAAGTGGGAGTCTGGAGTCGAACCCACGTCCTGGAGACCCCAAGGGCCTCAGGGAGCTGCCTCCCTAGGGCGGGGGGCGGGGGGGTGTCGGGGGAAGAGGAAGAGGCTGAGAAGCAGACAGCGCTCAAGGGACAGACACACGGAAAGGGATGCCCAGAGACGATGGAGACAGAGACACAGAGATAGGGAGACATCCGACCAGACCCGCGAGTCAGGCACAGTTCCAGATTGAGATACAGAGAGACCTACAGCCAGAGAGAGACAGACAGACAGACACACACACACACACACACGGAGACGCAGCCTGAGGCCCGCAGCCGCAGGGGTGGGGACCCCGCAACTCCGCGACCCCGCCTCCTTCCCACCCCCTGCCCACCCCCGCCCCCCGCCGAAGCCCAGCTGCCCGGGGCGCCGCGGGGCCTGGAGGGGGCGGGAGCGGGGCGCGGCGCGGGCGGGGCGATCGGGGGGCGGCACCGCGGGACGGCGGGAGCGGCGGCGGGTCCAGGAAACCCCTGGGGCGGACGGGTGGCCCCGGGGGGGCCGGGGGCGGGGAGGCGGGCGGCCGGCACCGCCCGGCCCGACAAAAGTCCCTTCAGTTCAGCCGGCGGCAGGGGAAGTCCCGGCGCTCGGCGCAACCACCCTCCCGTGCTGCCGAGCCCAGCCGCGCTTCGGCCGCCCGCTCGGCCGCCGTCCCCGGCGGCCCCATGCCCCGATGCCCCGCGGGGACCATGGACGAGGGGCCCGTGGACCTGCGCACCCGGCCCAAGGCCACCGGACCCCCGGGCGCCGCGCTGCCGCTCCGCAAGCGCCCTCTGCGCGCGCCCTCCCCGGAGCCTGCCGCCCCGCGCGGCGCTGTGGGCCCCGTCGTCCCCCCGGATCCCCTCCGCGGTGGCTCCGACACACCGGCTGTGCCCGCGCCCCCTCACGGCCTGGCGCGGCCAGAGGCAATTTACTACCAGGGTGAGTGGCTTCCGCGAGTCATGGCCGGGTGGGGGGCAGGCAATGCAGAGGGTCATCACCGCAGTCAGGGGGCAGAGCTCCGACCTTAACACAGGGGAGCCTCGGGGAGCCGAGGGACAGAAGTCAAGGTCCCAAGGACACAGAGAGGGGGTTCCTGGGGAATTGCGGGCAGAGCCTGAGGTCCCAGGGGTGCAGATATGGGAGCTTCAGGGAGCCAGCACCTTGGGACACAGATACCGGAGCTCTAGGAAGCTAGGGGTCAAAGTCCTGAGATCTGAGACCCACCTATAGGGAGCCAGGAGACAGTGCCCAGCAGTCCAGATATCGTGTCTCAGGGAGTCAAGTCCCGGGAACACAGAGTTATAAACTCTTAAAAACCCAGATATATAGGGTTACAAGGGATCAGCAGCTGGACCCAAAAAGCTGGGGGTTTGGGGACCCTTGAACTTTATGTGGGGTCAAAGGGAGTGAGGGGAACAGAGACTGGGATTCTAAGGAGACATGTTAAGGATCCCCATTTGTCAAAATCGTGGGACCCCAGATGTCAGGAGAAGATGGGAAGAGAGTGGGAGTACTGAGCACCCCAATATCTGGGATCACAAAAACCCAAGGAAACCGATCCCAATACCAGGGGTCCTAGGAGTCAGCAGGACAGAGATCTGGGGTTCTAAGCACCCATTTCTGTGTGCTTGCAAGTGATCAGTGTCTCACTGGTGTCATGAGGTCAGGAGGCCTTAGGGTGGCTTTGGGGGCTGAGGATTCTAAAAACTGGGGGGCAGGACGGGGGGGTTCTGGACCTCAAGGATTTAGGGCCAGGGAGGATTTGGGGGTCTCTGGGCAGAAGGCCTGAGGGCACCAAGGCCTGGTATTGAACATACAAGGACCAGGAAACTTGGGGTTTCAGGAATGGAGCCCCCAAGGACCAGGAGATGACAGAGAAGAACAGGCACTATTCTTCCCATCCTGTCTCCACCCCTGATATCCAGGAGGGGGCAGCCTCTCCCACAGCTGTGCCCACTTCACAATCTCCAAGTGACCCCCAGAGCTGCAGGGACCCCAGGCCTTGGGCCTCCAGAATTTTGTCCAGTTTCTGCACCTTTCATCCCCTCAGGGTACAGCTTCAAGCCCTCCATCAGGAGGCCTGTCACTGCCTTCTCCCCTTTCACATTCCCCCATGAAAACTTGAGCCTCAGCTTTCCCCATCTGAGTGATGGGTAGACGTGGATTTGCCAACTACCTTGGTGCCTTCCAGCAGTTTGATCTGTGCCGGATTCTGGCACTACTCCCTCTCCCCAAACTCTGTACACATTCATCCCACCCCCTACACCTGGTGCTTCATCCACCCTTACCTTCCTCAGCCACAAATTCACTCAGCAAACTGGCCCTGAGGTCCCCATGCTGGGCGATAGTGCAGAATCTTTGCCTAGTAGAAGATGAGGGGTCAGACAGAAGTAAAGATAAGTGACAATGTCCAGGGCTGGGGAGGGGAGCTGCAGGAGCGCAGAGGAGGGACGTGGTAGAGGAGTTTGTCTTGGGTCTTAAAGGCTCAGGAGGAGATGCAAAAGGGACCAAGGGAAAAGGGAGCGAAGGCCTGGAGCTGGGGGGCAGGTTGATGACCTGTGGGCTTGGCCTCATGCATGTCCTTTCTCTTCCCAGGACCTTTACTCTCCCTGTACCCCACCCCGACCATGGGCTCCCCCTTTCCTCTGCTGAACTTGCCTACACCTCTGTACCCCATGGTGTGCTCCATGGAACACCCCCTGTCAGCTGACATCGCCATGGCCACGCGAGCTGATGAGGATGGAGACACGTGAGTGACAGTCCCCCATTCAAGGAGGGGAGTAGAAGGGTGGGGAGGCCAACCCTCCACCCACCTCACCCACCCATTGCAACACGGGCACTCAGCCAGCAGGAGCTTTCAAGTTACCTGCACTGAGTTAGAATCCTGTCTCCCCTGTCTGTGTGACTTTGAGGAAGCCCCTTTCCCTCTCTGAGCCTCAGTTTCCTCTTCTGAAAAACAGGCACCCTGAGAACCCTTACCTCCCAGGACTGTTTTTGAAGCAGTGGGCTTTAGAGTTTTTACCAAAAGCCAAAAATGAGAAAGACATTTTACAGATTGACTTATTATATGAATTATACATGTTAAGCTCCTTGCACAGAGCCTTGTAGATTGAAGGTGCTCAATCTGTATTAATTATGTTATTATTATCATTATAACCTTTGGCTAAGCACACACACATATATAAACTTGAAATAAAAATTGCACAGAACAAAACAGCACTCAGGCTTACAACATGGGAGCTACTTTGGGGTTTTCTATTCTAGTCATGTCGCTGTTTCCTGGTCATAGCCCACTAAATTAATTTGACAATTCTTTAAGCTGATTTCACAAATCTCATGGTTTTATCATCTACTGTTTGAAGGACAGGCTTCTGAGCTTCATGAAGCCACTGAGAAGTCCTGCATGGGAGCATTTAGCACAGGCCTAGCACTCAAAAAAACACTTGACCACCGTGGTTATGGTAATTCTACCAACCTCGGATGGAATCTCAGCTGGTCACTTTCTCATACATCTCTACCTCAGTTTCCCCCTGTGCAAACAAGAACCACAAGATGAAGGTCTCTATGAGGCAGAAAAGAACTGATTTCAATAAAGCAATTATCTAGGAATGGGCCTGGGGACTCTGGAAACCACAGGGGGAGATGCAAGGAAAGTGGGGGGTCTCCACCACTGGCCCCTGGGTGATTTCGCATCCCCAAGCCTGTTTCCCTGTCTGGAAATCAGGCCTCATGATCACAGTGGGGATTCAATGCAGTGAGGTACAGGACTTAGAGTGCATGGGGCCAGGGGCACAGTTGGTGCTCAGTACATTGGAGTGGATTTTGTTGGAACAGAGCTCCTTGGACTATCCTTGCGAACCCAAGCAGGACAAAGTGTCTGAGATATAAATGTATCTTTATATATATGTATATATAAAGATATATATATTTATACACAAAGGCCTTGGTAAAACTAGTTCCCGCTGCCTCTGGGTACCTGTGGGGTCATCTGTGAAATAGATTCAATTTGTCTCTGTCCCCAGGGGTGATTTGTTTGCAGCCTGTGAAAGCCGGGTGCAGAAGACGACCTGGCACACCAGTCTCTAGCCCCACGCCCCAGCCTCCCTCCCCACCCTCCCCGCTCTCCCCCAAAGCAAACACTTCTGCCTCAGCTGCCTGGTGGGGGAAATCCCTTCCCGCAGAACTTGACCGCAGCCCAGCTGCTCTGCCTTCCCCACGTCAGCACCCGTCACTCACTCGCAGCCTCCCCCTCCTGGCGCTCCCTCTAACCTTAACCCCTTCCGCTGGGGCCGAGGCTTTACCGGAATGGGCAGCGGGCCGGGCGGGGGCGGGGGTGGGGGGACACGCTAGGTCCGGGTCCCCAAAGGGGCAATGCTACGGTTGGGAGGCTGGACTTCGAGGTATTCAGGGCAGTAAGATCTCAGGGCATTTGCAATCACCACCCCCACCCCCCACCCCCGCCAAAGGTCTGACAGTGGGGAGCTGGAAGTCTGAGTTTCCACAGGGGGTGGGGTGGGGTGGGGGACGCGTTCTGAGTCCCAGAGGGCAGAAGTTGGGTACTAGATGCCTTGAACGCTGAGCGGGTGAGGCGCCGGGCGGCAGGGTGGCCGGGGGAGCCTAGCACTCGGAGCGATGGGGGCAGTCCGTACCCGCCAAGAGTTAGGGCATCGTATGCCAGGGACGCAGGAAGCAGCATGCCAGGATGTGGGGGACAGGGAGGCAGCTGGAGTCTGAACCCTGCGAGATGGAGTTCTAGCGGGGTGCCCTGGCTGGAGCAATTGGGGTCCTTCCTTACCCCCAACGTAACTAGAGCTCTTTGGGTCGGGCTCCCCTCTCCGCCTCATTCGAGGATGGAAGTTGGGGTGCCGGGGTGGCCGGGGTAGATCCCCGAAGGGCCAGGCTTCCCTCCCCCGGGAGCAGGAAGCGGAGCCCCGCCCAGCAGACCTGTTACTGGAAGTCCGAGGGCTGGGCCGCCCCTCCCGTCCCCACTTCCTCCAGCCCCGCCCCACCCCCTGCGGCCCGCGCGTTTATGGGAACTCAGGCCTGGACGGTTTCTCTGAAATCATTTTCTCCCTCTGCCCTCGCTTAACCCCGCCCGCCCCGAAGGGGACCCAGACGGGGCGTCCTGAGAGATGCGGGGAGGGGACGGAGCCCTTTCCCGGGGGCCCCTGGCCCAGGTCCGACCCCTGCCCCGAGATTTCTTTTTTAAATGTGGCTCTCCCGGTTCAAGATCCGGGTTCAGCGTTTCACCTGCAGAATCTCTTCCTGGGGGCTGGGAGCTATTGCGGGCGACACTTTACCGAGGAGAAACCTGAGGCTGGAAAGGCCCACGTGACTTTGCCCACGCCTCAGGGCAAGAGAGATTTGCAACCCAATTTGCAACCCTGGCTCTGCCCCCGCAAAGCCCTCCGGGGAGGCAGAACTTCTCTGCCTCCAGCACTAGGAGGTGGATTCAATTCCGCCGTGGGGAGGACCGCCGTTCACCTCACTTAGCCTGGCCCAGGTTCGTCAGCAGGCAGCGGCGGGTGAGGTTGTGGGGCCTGTGTAACTTCAGCCAGCCTTATGGACTCAGCGCCAGCGTCCCCCAACCCCCCTACAGTCATCTCAGATTGTCCTCAACTCTGAATAGCTCTTCCAGCTTTTGGGGGCCCTGAGAAGCTGGCAGGAGTTTTATTGGAAAGGCTTCTCCAGCCCAGTGCCTGCGGGGAGGGAGAAAGCAGGACTGGGCAGAGGGAGAATTCGAGCTGCTCTGTAGCTTCAACCGGGCCTCAGGGATCCCACAGGGAATATGGCAGCTGGAGGGGCCTTTCAGAGTTGGGGCTAGAAGGCTGGACCTTCTATGCCCACACAAACCAGTCAGCGGATGCCATTGGGTGGCGTCTACCCACCCCCATGACCTGGGCAAGCAGCCCTTTCCAGCGGAGGGTAATTCCCAGAGAGAGCCGAGATTTGACAACCTTCCCAGAAGCTGAGGAAATGGAGTCCTTCAGTCCTAAAGGGGGGATCTGGGTTGCGCAGTCCAGCTTCCCAAGCAATGACTCCCATCCCAGTTTGTCCCACCTGTGCCATCATCTCCCTTCTGGGCAAAAATTGCCCCATGTCCCTCCTCTCGGGTGGGAGGCTGAACATGATCTCCAGTCACCACAGATGGAGACCATCCAGTTCATCCCCACCCATTCCACAGATGAGAAAACTGTGGCCTGGAACGGGGTGAGCACATGGTCCCCAGCTTCAAGGAGGGTCAGGGGTCCTTGAGAGGGCCTCGTCTATTCAGGGTGTTTGTGGAGCACTTTCTCAGCACCAACCACTGTCGTAGGCACTGGGAAAATGCTTTACCTGGTGGAGCTGACATTCTATCGAGGGAGATTCAGACAGGAAACAAAAGTGTACGATGTTAGGTGATGATGTGGAGGAAAATAAAGCGTGGGAGTGGGGTGGGGGAGCCGCTGCGGTACCATTTTAGCAGAGGCCCCAGTGAGGGGAGTTAGCCCCGAAGATATGGGGGCGGGGGAGATACTGTTCCTGGCAGAGGGAACAGCCAGTGCAAAGGCCTAGGAGGCAAGCATGCTTGGTATGTTTGAGGAAGAGCAAAGAGGCTAGTGGCCAGAGATGAGATGACATCAAAAGGAATCAAAGAGGGAAAGGCAAGATCGCCTGAGGCCTGTGGGCCATGGTGGGGACTTTGAGAATTCTGTGCAGAAAAGCGGCATGATTTGACTCAGGTTCTAAAGGGTCTCTAGCTGCTCTGTGGGGGGCAGACAGCAGGGCAGTGTGCAGGTAGAGAGGCCAGTGTAGAGGGGACACTCCAAGAGGGAGATGATGGTGCCTGAACCAGGATGGAGGGAATGGGGGTGGGGAGCAGTGGTTGGATACCCGAGTTACTTCTAAAGCATCCTGTGCATTTTGGAGTTAGCACTGCTAAGAGTTCCAGGGTGAGAGGTGACCACTCTCTCATGCCTGATTCTCACCCCCAGGCCACTCCACATTGCCGTGGTGCAGGGCAATCTGCCGGCTGTGCATCGCCTTGTCAACCTCTTCCAGCACGGCGGCCGGGAACTGGATATCTACAACAACCTCCGGCAGGTGAGGCTGGGGACCTGAGTCCTAGGTGAAGAAGAGCTAGGGGCCCTGATGCTTGAATCTGAGGGAGTAGGTGCTCAGATTTCTGGTTCAGACTACTGCTGGGGGTCAGGACTCTGAGGGAGGCAGGACTGGGTCGCAGGGCAGGAAACAGGAGTCCTTCACAGTCTCTGTTCCCCAGACACCGCTACACTTGGCTGTGATCACCACCTTGCCGTCTGTGGTCCGGCTCCTGGTGATGGCCGGTGCCAGCCCCATGGCACTGGACCGCCACGGTCAGACGGCAGCCCACCTGGCGTGCGAGCACCGCAGCCCCGCCTGCCTGCGGGCCTTGCTGGACAGTGCGGCCGGGGGTACCATGGATCTAGAGGCCCGCAATTACGATGGTGAGCACCTACCCGGGCGCTGGGTGGGGGCTCTCTGGTAGGACCTGGAGTCCTTCTGAGGCTGCAAAGCCCCAGGCCTACTTTTAACTGAGTCTCCTGAGTCTCCCGCTCTTTCAGGGCTCACCGCCCTGCACGTAGCGGTGAACACCGAGTGCCAAGAAGCGGTGCTGCTCTTGTTGGAGCACGGCGCGGACATCGACGCGGTGGTGAGTGAGCTTGGGCCGGGGTGGGGTGGGATGGGGGCTCCTGGAGGCGGGGCTCGAAGTACCTAAGGAAACTGAGATGCTGGACCCAGCGGTTGGGGTGCGGGCCTCCGGCTGCTTGGGCAGAGCAAGGGGATGCTCAAAACCTTCCTTCCTTGCGCAGGACATTAAGAGCGGCCGCTCCCCACTCATCCACGCCGTGGAAAACAACAGCCTGAGCATGGTCCAGCTGCTGCTACAGGTGGGTACGGCCCCTTCCCCTGGCCTCTCGCCCACCCCCTCCTCTGGCCCTGACCGCCTGTCGCTCCATCCCTGCCACCGACCCCTCCTCCTTCCAGTTCTGGCACTGCGCTTGCTACGCTTCCAACCCCGACCCTTCCTCCTAGGCCTCCTTCCGCCAACCCTAGGACTTCACTCCTTCAGACTACGAACCAGTCCCCGGTCATCTCAGATTCCTTCCTCTAAACCCCCAAAACGGTCCAGACTCCTCCCGGCTGGAGTCTCGCTGACCCTTGTCTTCCGGCTTTGGCCCCGTCCCGGCGCGGTCTTTCCGCCCTGACTCCGTCTGCAATTGGGCCCAAACCCCTGAACCCTTCCCTTCTCTGACCCCGCCCCCTCTGCTTTGGCCAGGGCTGCTGAGTCCATCGCCAACTGATTCTGTGTCGCCCCCGACCCGCTTAGTCCCGCCCCTGTTTCCAGTTTCCACCCTTCTCTGATGGTCCCTGGGTCTGTCCCCGCCCCAACTTGTGACCCCGCCCCTCATACTGGCCCCGCCCCCTGGGTCCCGCCCCCATCCTCTCAGGCTGGGGTCCTAACCCGCGCCTCCCCTCCTGCAGCACGGCGCCAACGTGAACGCGCAGATGTACTCTGGCAGCTCCGCGTTGCACTCGGCGTCCGGCCGCGGGCTCCTCCCGCTCGTGCGCACGCTGGTCCGCAGCGGCGCAGACAGCGGCCTCAAGAACTGCCACAACGACACGCCGCTCATGGTGGCGCGTAGCCGCCGGGTGAGTGCGCGCGCTGGTGGCGGCAGGGGGTTACAGGAGTAGCGGGAGTTGGAGGGGGGTGGGGGCTGGATGGAGAGGGGTCTGTGCCCCAGTGCCGGTCTGCAGGGATGGGACAGATGAGTGGCACGTGTGTGCAAGGGATGCGGCAGGGTGTGTGTGCGCGTAAGTGCCAGGGTGTGAAGGCGAGCCGGTGCAGCCTGACGCGTGGGTGTGAGTTCTAGGCAGAGGAGAGACTGAGGCCTGAAGAAAGGAAGTGACTTGCCCTCTTACACGTCCTGAGAGAGAGGCGAGGCTCCCTGCTCTAGGAGACTCAGGAACCGGGAGAAATGGAGAGAGGCAGGGCTGTGTGGGCAGGGCTGGCCCAGAGGTGATCATGCAACGTCTCACAGGTCATCGACATCCTGAGAGGCAAGGCCACACGGCCTGCTCCGGCATCCCAGCCAGAGCCCTCCCCGGACCGGAGCGCCACCACCTCCCCTGAGAGCAGCAGCCGCCTCAGCTCCAATGGTGAGAAGCCAGCCCCCCAGCTCCCAGAACCCAGGAGTTGGGACCCCCAGCCTCCTCCCTGGATCTAGCCTCTGGCCACCCTCACCCCCTCCTCTCTCTTCTCTTCACGCAGGTCTTCTGTCAGCATCACCACCCTCCTCGCCCTCCCAGTCTCCCCCCAAGGACCCTTCTGGATTCCCCATGGCTCCCCCCAGTTTCTTCCTTCCTCCCTCATCTCCACCGACCTTCCTGCCCTATGCCGGAGTCCTCCGAGCCCCTGGCCGGCCGGTGCCCCCCTCCCCAGCTCCAGGAGGTAGCTGAGAGGAATGGGGGGGCAGATCTTGGACTCGTGAGGAGGGACCTCACTGCCCTGTGGGGTCAGCCCTCCTGGAAACTGTGAAGATCTCACTCTGCCCCCCCCCAATCTTCTGGATCAGGATTTGCACAGAGGCACATATATTTACCTATAACCCCCCCTCTTCTCAGCACGGATATTCCTCCATCTCAGCCTCGCCCCCAGTCCAGGACTCTTACCCCCATTTTTCTCAGGCATCCTGGTCTCTCAGTCTTTCGTCTGGAACTGCCCTCAAATGTTCATTTCCTTCTCCTCTCCCAGAGCTGGTGGAACCAAGGAACAGCTCTCTCTTCTGCACTCCACCCACTTCAGTGAGGAGGGAGAAATGGGCTGACACCAGGCACTGATATCCATGTAAATTATTAGGCGTTTTGGTTGGATTTCTTTTGTAATAAACTATTTTTGTAGCATATCCCTGGCTTTGCTGGGTCTCTTACATGAGGAGGTTGGGAGGAAGTGTGTGTGTGTGTGTGTGTGTGTGTGTGTGTGTGTTTGCACGCGCACACACCTGGATGCCATAGCCAGCTGACTCAACGTGAGTCTCAGACTGACAGTGACAGGTGTGGGTGATGCTGGGACTTCCAGGGGTGTTGTAGACATTGCATTGTTGTGTCACTCTGCCATTGTTTCTGGAGGGTGATGTGAAGTGTGATATCTTTCCAGAGGACCCTATTGGATTCCATAGTAACCTTGGGTGTGTGTGTGTGTGTGTGTGTGTCTCTGAAGGACTCTGCAGTTTGTGTGGTCCCTGTGGTACCACAGCTGACTGTGTTGACCTGTTGTGAACTGTTAATTCCAGTTGTCTCTGGGTCTCCATGCATGAGTGTTCTTAACACTGAGACCTACAGTTATTGTGTGATTGTTTCTGTGTGACCACTTTGCTTCGTGTATCACATTTATTCAGTGGCTACAAGGCCCCCCTGTAGGCCCCCCAACATACATATATATATGTGTATTTATATACATATATGGGCTTCCCAGGTGGTAGTAGTGGTTAAAGAATCTGCCCTGCCGGTGCAGGGGCCATAAGAGATACAGGTTGGATCAGGAAGATCTGGAGGCAAGCGTGGCAATCCACTCCAGTATTCTTGCTAGAGAATCTCATAGACAGGAGCCTGGCAGGTTACAATCCATAGGGTCACAGAGTTGGACACTACTGAAGCAACTTAGCACATGTACATACACACACATATATATATATATACATATGTGTGTATAATTATACACACACACACACACACACATAAGTAGGCCTCACTGTGGGGCACGTGGGATCCTAATTCCCCGACCAGGGATTGAAACTTCGCCCACTGCAATGGAAGGCAGATTCTTAACCACTGGCTCCCCCACCCCGGGAAGTCCCCAGATATATTTTTGACTCTGTGGACACCTTTCTTATGTATCAATCACGGTTTGCCTGTTGCCACTGTAACAAAGCACCACAAATTCAGTACCTTAAAACAGCACAACTTCATCCTCCTACAGTTCTGGAGGTCAGCAGTCCAAAATCAGTCTCACCAAGTCAAAGTGTCAGGAGAGCTGCTTCCCTCTGGAAGCCAGAGAGGAGACTCTGTCCCCTTGCATTATCCAGCCTGCAGAGGCTGCCTGCATTCCTTGGCTCATGGCCTCTTCCTTGTATCAAAGCAATTTCTGTCTTCCATCTGCACATCTACTCTGATCTCCTGTCTCCCTCTTATGAGGTCCCTCTGGTTCCCCTGGGTTCACCCAGATAATCCAGGATAACCTCCCTTCTCGAGACCATTAACTTCCTCACATCTGGCAAATCCTTTTTGCCATATAAAGGAACAGTCACAGATTTCCAGGGGTAAGGATGTAGATATCATTGGGAGTCTGTATTCAGCCAACTCCTTGGCTTCAGTCAGAGAAACAGCATTACTAGCAAAAGGTATATGGATAAGAGATTCATTAAAGGGATTTGCTCGGGGACTTCCTGGTGGTCCAGTGGTTATGACTCTGCACTCCCAATGCAGGTGGCCTGGGTTCAATCCTTGGTCAGGGAACTAGATCCCACATGCCACAACTAAGAGTTTGCATGCTGCAGCTATAGATCCCACAGGCTGCAGCCAAATAAGCTAATATATAAATAGTAAATAAATTTATTCTCTAACAGTTCTGGAGGCCAGAAGTTCAAAATCAAGGTGTCAACAGGCCACACTCCCTCCAAAGCCTCCTGGAGAGAATCCATCCTTGTCTCTTCCAGCTTCCAGTGACAGCTGGCATTCCTTGGCTTGTGGCCACATCACTCCCAATCTCTACCTCCCTCTTCACGTGGCCGCCTTCTCTGTGTATCTGTCTTCTGTCTCTTATAAGGGCCATTTTCATTGGGCTTAGGACCCACCCAGACCCCATCCAGCATGATCTAATTCTTGACATCCTAACCTGAAGTGCATCTGCAGAGACCCTTTTTCCAAATAAGGTCACATTCACAATTTCTGGGGTGTTTGGAATGTTTCCTTGTGGGAGGCCACCATTCAACCCAGGGCTTCTCAGGTGGTGCTAGTGGTAAAGAATCTGCCTGCCAATGCGGGAGATACAGAATATTCCTCTGGAGAAGGAAATGGCAACCCACCCCAGTATTCTTGCCTGGAGAATCCCATGGATAGAGGAGCCTGGCGGGCTGCAGTCCGTGGGGTTGCAAAGAGATGCAACTGAGTGCACACACACACACACACACACACACACACACACGCATGCATGGCTCAACCCACTGCACAGGGTGACTTTTGGACACTGTAAGCAGCTGCATGTGAGAACTTCCCTTGTGATAATCCCACCACATGAGCAAGGTCATGTGCAATGACTGGTCTCTCCAGCAGACAGTGAGCTGTGGAAAGGCAGTGGACACTCTTGCTGCCTGACCCACGGCAGCCAGCACACTCCCTGGCACAGAGCAGACCCCTGAGAAATGACGGTAGAATGCACTACGGCGTCTGTGATTCTTCATGGCTGTGTCTGATCCCTTGTCCCACTATGTGGCCAACGTGGGGGCAAATATTAGCAGCACCGTATTGACCATGCGTGCTAAGTCGCTTCAGTCACGTCTGACTCTTTGCGATCCAGTGGACTGTAGCCTGCCAGGCTCCTCTGCCCATGGGATTCTCCAGGCACGAATACTGGAGAGGGTTGCCATTCCCTCCTCCAGGGGATCCTCCTAACCCAGGGATTGAACCCCTGTCTCTTATGTCTCCTGCACCTGCAGGGGAGGTTCTTTACCATGAGCACCACCTGGGTAGTCCCGCATTGACCATAATGGTGCCCATATTCCAGATGGGAAAACTGAGACTCAGAGGGAGCAAGCTGCCTGTCCAAGGTCAGGGTTGCTGCCTCCTAAACCCACATTCATAGTCCCTGGGCCCTTGTGACTCACAGGAAGGTGGTGTGTGGTTGTGTCTATTATTTTAAGTGTGTGCATGGGCACCTGTGTGTGTGGAAATGGTGTAGGAGAGCAGGTGTGTGTGATGGAGAGCACAGGCCCTGGAGTCAGAACTAGGTTCGAGTGCTGCCCTTCTGCTCCCTAGCTGTGTGATCTGGACTGGGTGGCTTTCACAGCCCTGAGCCTCCACGTCCTCAACTGTAAAATAGGAACAATGCCGACCTCGCAGGGTCAATGGGTTGATGAGTGTTTGATGAGAGTTAGAGGTACCAGCCCTATCACTGGCCTGGAATGTGTGTGTCAGCATCTCCTTGTATCTGTGGGTCCAGACGGTGGGTGATGTGCCTCTTTGTGTATGAGAAACTATCTCCGGGTTCAAAAGCTGAACTCGGCCCCTGACCTTGGCAAGCTACTTCTCTAAAACAAAGGATCTGGCTTCTCCACGGATGGAAATCCCCACTCGGCCTCCTGACCTTGGGACTGGGCACGTGTCCTTCCACACCCAGCCCCCTTCCCCTGAAGAAAGGCAGACTCCTAGGAGGTGGAGAGGAGGGTCATAGAGAGGGTCTCCAGCCCCCCTACACCAGCCTTCCCAGAATTAAACATGCCCCCCTCCACCAGTGCCACCAAGACCGTTCTCATCTGTGAAAGTCCTTGCATCCTTGAGCCAGAAGTCATACTTCCGAAACATTTCTCCACGAGCCCCAGTCCTGTTGCAAAGTTTCACTTGTAATCACCACCCTGGGTAAACCCACACGCTCAGTAGAGAATATCACTTCCAAGTGCATGCATTGTTGTTTCTGTGTACTGTGCTCACTCACTCAGTCGTGTCTGACTCTTTGGGACCCCATGGACTGTAACTGCCAGGCTCCTCTGTCCATGGGATTTCCCAGGCAAGAATACTGGAGTGGGTTGCCATTTCCTTCTCCAGCGGATCTTCCAGACCCAGCAATCAAACCCTTGCCTCCTGCATTGGCAGGTGGATTCTGTACCACCAGCGCCACCTGGGAAGCTCCAAGTGCATGCAAGAAATCTTCCAAATCTCATATATGGGTGCTGTTCCCCCCAAATGCTTTTAATTTTTTTTTTTGAAGTTTTGAAAACTTTTATTTTATATACAAAGAGCTAGTATTATTTCCGCCTAAGGTTGATGTGCTGGATGAGCCATCTAAGGAAGTTCAGTTAGTCCAACTTAATGAAGCCGATGTCCTTCGCATACTGGCAGAAACACTGGCGGCACATATTGAGGCCGTATTTCCGCATCAGACCGTGCCGGTTTGAGCAGACCCGGCGAGAGCGAGAACCCTGGCCGAATTTTCTCGGATGGCTCCAGTAGAGCTGCTGGTGATCCATGTTGCTTTCTCGGCTGCAACGAGGTAAAAGGCCCCCCAAATGCTTTTAAGAGCATTAGAACTAAACAGAGTGCATCAGCTGGTTGATAAGGATTTGATGAGCGTGTAGGTGTGAGCTCCAGGCATGTGCGCAGACCCTCAGGTCAGCCACACCCCCGTTTTACAGAAAGGGGGACTGAGGCCCGGAAAGGGGAGACTCTGACTTGGTGCAGCGACGAGT